CACTGATTTCTCGTGCGCTCTTGTTGACTGGTCCAATTCTAGGCCGATATCGACACCAACCGTCTTCAAATGGCTCAATATATGAATTGCGGTTCCGATGACGAGCGCAGTGACTTCTTCGCTTTCAACGACTACTCCTGGTGCGATCCCTCCTCTTTCACAACCTCCGGTTGGGATCAGAAGGTGAAGAACTTCACTGGCTACGGTCTTCCTCTCTTCCTGTCCGAGTACGGCTGCAACACCAACAAGCGTCAATTCCAAGAAGTCGGCTCCCTCTACAACACGGATATGACTGGTGTCTACTCTGGTGGTCTCGTGTACGAGTACTCTCAAGAAGCCAGCAACTACGGTCTGGTGGAGATTAGCGGCAACAACGTCAAAGAGCTGTCCGATTTCGACGCTCTGAAGACCGCGTTCCAAAAGACCTCCAACCCCTCCGGCGATGGCAACTACAACAAGACTGGTGGTGCCAACCCTTGCCCCGCCAAGGACTCCCCCAACTGGGACGTTGACAACGATGTTCTGCCTGCCATCCCCGAGCCTGCCAAGAAGTACATGACCGAGGGTGCTGGCAAGGGCCCTGGTTTTGGCGGCTCTGGCAGCCAGGACCGTGGTACCCAGTCTACTGCCACTGCTGCGCCCGGATCTGGCTCTTCCACTGGAAGCAGCAGCAGCGGCACCTCCACTTCTTCCAAGGGCGCTGCAGCTGGCCTGACTGTCCCTAGCCTGACCATGGCTCCCGTTGTCGTCGGTGCGGTTTCTCTCCTATCCACCGTCTTCGGCGCTGGCCTCGTCCTTTTGTAATTTCTTGTTCTCATACCCTTTTGAACAACTTGTCCTATTGCCATGGTTTTTTTCTGTTCGTCTTTACTTCGATTCTTTGGGCACCCGATCGGTCTAGAACGGGGGGATTGTATTCGATTGATGAATTATCCGTGGTGTTATTTCACAACCCAGCGAGAAAGACTCGGGAAAATGTACAGTTTAGGTTGGCTTCTCTTGGCCTCTTATAGATTAATTGAATGACCCAATTTTCAACTTTTTACCTTGCTGGTCAACGATTTTGCAGTGATCGCCTGCTGCCTGTGCCCTTGGCAGCGACCGACCCACCTCCCATCAAACCACGGAAGATTCCTCAGAGACGAGACGATTGCTGCGAGCCTGTCGGTAGGGCTGTTAGTCAAGCCTAGTGTTAACAGGATAAGCTCTCCCCAGAAATCATACTATTCTGACCGACCTCTAGTAATCTCACACAAGCCGACTACGGACATTTTCCATCGGCACCAGTTTCAATCTCCTAATATCAAGATATTATGGTTCCGGGTTGTGTCAGCTCCGGACACGCTCTCATCAGCATCCTGACTCGGTCGGCCAATCAACCACCACGCTTTATTGATCCATCCACTTGATACTCAACGTCCTGGAGGGGAACTGTTTCGATTAGATGGAAAGGTGGGCAATATCGGTATTGAGGGTTAACGGCTCAAACGACCGACGTTGAAATATGAAACCAGACTTATCTAGCTCCTCCTTAGCGCGTCCCACTCGGTGCAGGTGGACGTTTTGCTGGCGCTGCTTATTTCCTGCTGGCGTATGCAACCTTCGTTCCATCGGAGAAGCAGTTATGCTCTTGTCGATTTCGATCTAGCCTAGCCGTCGATGAGCCCACCGGTTTAATTCTTCCAATCCACTGGGTGCCGTCCTTGATTTCTCGGTCGTTTTCCGGTGCAGGGCCAGTCCATGCTTGAGGGACAGATGGTTGTGTATATGAATGATGTCCTCGCCGCGATGGCTGTTCATTCAATCTATCATTTATCCGTTCATTCTTTTGTTTGTTTCTCTTCTTTCCTTTCGGCAATTCTAGCCGTCATTCGCTTTGGGCTGCTGCTGGGTCGGCTATCCCGTTCCTTCCATTCATTATCAGGTTTTGTCTTTAGCATACGCCGGCTGTTTGCGACTTTGCTTCCTTTGTCGAACTGATCGACCGAAGATAAAATGCGTTCCTTTCTTTTCGGTGGCTTCGTAGCCTTGAGCTCGACGCTCGGCGCCTTTGCGGCAAACTACAATTCCTCCGCCTACAGTGACGCGGCATCCGGGATCGACTTTCAGAGATGGTGCGATGAGGCCACTGGATTCTGCTTCGGTCTGGCCCTCCCGGAAACCGTAGGAACCGACTTTGTCGGTCAACTGGTGGTCCCGCTGGACAGCTCAAAAGGATGGGGTGGTGTCAGTCTGGGTGGCTCCATGACCTCTGCTCTTCTGATCGCTGCCTGGCCAAATGGTAACTCGGTTGTCTCGAGTCTGCGCAAGACAACCAACTACGCCAACCCGGAAGTATACAGCGGCGGCGCCAGTCTCACCGAGATCGCCGAGGGCACTTCCGTCAATAGCACTCATCTCACTTATACTTTCCTTTGCAGCGGCTGCATCCTCGGACAACCAGCGACATTCGACGCCAGCGATGAAACGTACTTCCTTGGCTGGGCCCTCAGCAAGACCAGCCCTACCACTCCTGCCTCGCCTTCTTCGGCGCTGACATACCATGCCGCTGGCTTTGGTAGCTTTGAGATGCTCCTCGGCCAGGCCAAGTCCTCCAAGTACTCCACCTGGGCTGCCATGGCCAAGTCGACCGGCGGGTCGCCCTCCAGCACTCCTTCCGCGTCTGCGTCCGTCACCGCGTCCCCTAGTCGCAGCCCTGTTGCCAGCGTGACCCCGACGGTTTCGAACTCAACATACGACTACATCGTTGTGGGAGGGGGTGCGGCTGGTATCGTGGCTGCGGAACGCCTGGCGGAGACAAACAAGCGCGTTCTGCTGATCGAGCGTGGAGTTGCCCCGACGGTCGAGATGGGTGCATCTGACGCTCTTGCATGGAACAAGACCCTGGCGCCAGTGGATATCCCGGCCCTGAACCAGGCACTTACCAGTCTTGGTGTCGTTGGGGATTACCTGTGTTCAGATACGGCCGGTATGGCGGGATGCGTTCTCGGAGGTGGCACGATCGTCAACGCGATGGCCTTGATTTATCCACAGGAAGCAGACTTTGACGACAAGTGGCCTACCGGCTGGAAATGGCAAGATGTCAAGAGTGCCGCTGCCCGCTTCTACGAGAGAAACCCGGGAAGTCTCCTCCCGTCCGCTGACGGCCGCCGATACGATCAGGGCATGTACACCGTGCTGTCTTCCTTTTTGAGTGGCCTCGGATGGAAGTCGGTTGATCAGCACAAGCAGCCCAATGAGAAGCACAAGGCGTTCAGCTACCCATCCTGGTCGGTCGCCAATGGCATCCGAGCTGGTCCTGTGCGCTCCTACCTCCCTTTGGTCCAGAACAAGGACAACTTCACCCTGCGTCTGCAGACGACGGTCCGCCGTCTGATTCGCACTGGCGGCCACGTCACCGGTGTCGAGGTTCAGAACGCTTCGGGAGGTATTGAGCTCATCCAGATCCGTCCTGGTGGCAAGGTCATCCTCGCTGCCGGTGCTCTGTCCACACCTCGCATCCTCTTCAACTCTGGCATCGGCCCTGCCAAGCAGATCAAGACTGTCCAGAGCGGCAGCACCGGAATCACCCTCCCCGCTCAGAAGGACTGGATCAACCTCCCAGTTGGCCACAACCTCAAGGACCACCCCATGTTCACCGTCAAAGTCAACACCGGCGCCAACTTCACGGCCTTCAACACCTCCAGCGTCATCCCCGCCACCAACTCCCTCGCGCAGCGCATGTACGCCAGCGGCTCCGGCATCCTAACCCAGGGCGGCCACCGCCTGCAATTCTGGACCTCAAACGTCGCCAGCGACGGCGTCACCCGCTTCTACCAGGCCTCCTGCAGCCCCGGCGGCAACGGCATCATCACCATGAAGCTGTACCTGACGCACGGCGCCACCTCTTCCGGCGTCCTAGGCATCAACGCCGCCGGCTCCACAACCATCGAAACCGACCCCTTACTGCAGACAGCTGAGGACAAGGAGGCCCTTACATCGTTCCTGCAGGAGCTCCTTGATGACCTCAAGAAAGCTTCCTACACCGTCCAGGGGTCCACCTCCGCGGCCGACATCCTCGCCAAAATGACAAGCGGCGATCACTTCGTCGGGACAGCCAAAATGGGCACCGATGACGGCCGCCGCAACGGGACCTCCGTCGTGGACACCAACGCCAAGGTCTACGGCACCGACAATTTGGTACGTTCTTTCTATAACCCCCCGCCCCCGCCCCCGCCCCCGATTCTATACTGACACAAATAGTACATCGTCGACGCGAGTATTCACCCGGACTTGCCTACCGGCAACACCCAGGCCATCGTCATGATCGCCGCCGAGGCCGCCGTCGCCCGCATCCTTGCGCAGGGCAGCGGCCCCAGCTCCTCCAGCGTGGCTGTTACCGCCCCGAGCCAGAACGCCGCCATTGCGGCTTCTGTTTCTGCTTCTGCGTCCATCACTGAGACTGCAGTCCCTGTTCCTGTTCCTACCGGTGGTCAGGAATGTCCGCTAGAGTCGTGACCTCCGCTGCGGCGGCTACCGAACCCGAAGCTGCAGCTACTCCTACGACGAGCAAGGCCGAGGGTGCTGGCGGTGGTGTGGTCATTGTCACGGAGTGGGTGACGTCTGTGGATGTGGTTACTGTGACTAAACATGTTCTTGTGACTGCTACTACGACCGTTACTGTTCTGCCTACGTTAGCGTAGGACAGGCACTCTGAGGAAAAACGGCCCTTGTTTAGCTCCACTGTAGCGATATACTAGATATATAGCTGATTGAACACAGGAGTCTTCTATATTATAATCTAGTGCAAACTCACTCAAGCCCACAATCTATTTCTCATTTACAGGAATATAACGCTCATGATCATGGTCATAGTCATGGTCATGGTCCTGTTATCCCACGGACAAAAACCTTGTATGGTATAAACACGAAACCCCCCCAAACCCCCCGAAACCAAAAAGACAAGAAATCATCACATCGTAATCATCATCATCAGCTCATCATCAGCGAGAATCCTCAGGTCACACAGAATCATCCCCCAGCCAGAACTGATCCCCCCATTCGGCCTGCATCATCACACCCCCGCCCACACCCACATCCAGATCATCCAGCGAGAAGACCCCGTCGCCGGCGTACCCGCCCGCGCCGTCCGCGAATAGGAACCCCTGGCCGTGCGCGTCGCCGTGCATCAGCGGCATCGAGACGGGGATGTCCGATACGGAGGCGAGGGCGGGGGTCGCGAACGAGCCGCAGGTTAGCGGGAAGTGCAAGGGTGGGGGCGCGGTTGTGAATACTGGGAGTGGGACTGGGAGTGTTGGGGCAGAGGATCGCGCGCCGGGATGAGGATGCCCGTGTGCGTGTGCCTGGCCGGATGCGTATCCGAGACTGTGGCTCGTCATACCCATCGGGGCATCTGTCGAGCTGCGGGAACGCGGAGAAGGTCTTGGTCGTGCGGGGACGGCGCCGGGATGCGAGCCGGGATGACTTGCAAGCGGTGCTGGGATCGCTGCGTGGCTGGCGGCCCGCGTTGCAGAGTCGAGCGAAGGACGGGGCGCGATGGGTTGGAAGGCGCTGTTGGGGCGGGAGGGTCTACCGGATGATTTCTGGAGAAACCGAACCGGAGAAACACCATATCAGCGAACGACTGCCTGAGAATGATGCATGGCAACGACAAATCCCAAAGAAAGGCAAAATCAAGACGGTGCTTCCCCCTCTTGTCTGGTGACATCTACTTTTGAAGATTGAGACTTGGACTCTGCCTCACGTCTGAGTTTGGTGTGCTCCTCTGGAGCTTGGCATGGGGTGCAGTTGCATACAGAGCAGGTCGAAAAGGGACGGCCCTTTCTGGCGATGCGGATCAATGGTCGATCTGTGGTTGTGATTGTGAGTCCGAGTCTCACTGAATGATTATCAACAGTGTTGGGGGTGGAGGAATTAGGTACCATTGTGTTTACAGGTTGTCACACGGTGGCCGCGGACGCAAGCTTCACAAGCCCACTTTTCACCGTCAATGAGCATCCCTTGATGGTGGTATGAAAGGTAGAAGCCATGATGAGGGATGAGGAGGAGGAATTTATACGTGGACTGGCGGAGAGGAGATGAGACAATGCCATCATAGACAGTGTTGGGAGGATTAAAAGGGAATAGAGCTGGAGCTGGAGCTGCCTGCCTCAGGTGTCCGGAGATCGCCTTGTTCTTGCAGCTACAGCCTGCAGGTCAAGAGAAATCCCACTTGGGTCAGCTAGGTGATGGAGACCAATTTTTACGATGTCATTGAATCCAAGTGGGTATGATTGGTGCGGATGGAGAAATATTCGACATTTTGGGGGCTGCCATAAAAGGAGGATCCTCAGAAGGAATCAGCAGGAAATTTCCTTTGGATGGAGCCTTGGTGTGCGGTGGTGTATACACGGCAGCTACTACCACTACCACTGTTGGATATTTTCCTCTTGAAGACAAAAGACGGAAACCGATTGAATCGAGACTAGCGATGAGGGATTTTCGACCCTCGGCTCCCGCAAATGAAACCCAGGGGTAGGGGTGTTTCCAGTTTCTCCCAGCTAACACCCAAAGCAGCAAAGCAGAAAGATGGGAATTGCTGGTGTAAGCTAGCAATATCATTTCATCCTTTGGCAGCGCAAGTGGGAAATGCCAGATTCGTCCTAGCATTGATCGAAACTGGTGGTCCAGCAAATTCCCTCATACATTCGGTCCCCAAGAGTCGCTTTCAGACCGCCCCTCTTCCAAAGGAAAACCAATCTTGCTGCCTGGTGTTAGGGGTCCTCAAGCTCTTGAGATAATAATAATAATGACAAACAACGAGATCTGCTGGAGAAGAAAAATTAAGACGAGGACAAGAGAATTAGAGCTTGACTGGAGACGCTCGGGTCACTATGAGGCTGGAGTAGGGCATACACATTTACTGATTACAGAGTACAGGTACTTAGAGAACACCTTGAGCATCAATTTGCTAGAGCATCAATGACATACATTATTGACTAACTACAATATAACCGAATAATATCATTTCCAATCCATTATCAATCGGAAACCTATCTCTCAACTGGCGCTCGTAATGAAAATCATATGAATGTGTAGATCAACTCGCTTGATGGAGGTGGCTGAGCACTGCATACCCGACAGCAGCAGCAACAAGCGACTAGACTAGAGCTTCTGCACAAGCCAGATAGAGGCCCGTGGCGCAGTTCGATGATCGCCGATTTTCCATGGTTATCTTGTACGGAGTATGTTGTATCTGATTTACTATGAGGTATTTCCTCCTGATGATACGATCGTGGCTCGACTAATTTCCTGCGCGATTTTCACATGTAGTTCGAATTGTAGTGGTCCTGTTTGTATACTCTATCTGCCCCGTAGTGATTTTCGGAGTAGTGCTTCATTATCCCTTTTGACTGGAGAATTTCATGCAAAATTTCAAAAGAAAGAAGACAATTCTACCGGTGAACAAATTTTATCTACCATGTCGCAAGCTGCGTAGCCAACTTCGGTATCAATTCCCGTCTTCCCATACCCCTCCTACGAAAGTACACTCCCCAATACTACCACGCTTCTCGGCACTCTCTCGGTATGTACCTTAATAGAGACGATCCCATCATCTGCAGTGTTAGCCTCCAATAGAATTTTGAGGGGAAACGGCGGCTGAAATTAAGGTATCTTCTGCGTGGCTTGTGCACAGTACTTTGATTTCCGACTGCGCTTTGCTCTGAAAGGAAGGTCCTTGCTTTGGTGACAGGCTGGCAGTTTGTCCCCTGGTTAGTTTGGTTCCAGTGGACGACCTCGAATCTGGTATTGTCAGAGATCATGAGACCGATCGTCCTGATAGATCATACTGTCTACTCCGTAGATACTATTGCGATCCAATTGCCACGGTGAGTTCAACTCTAAAAGTAGGACGACACAGAGCGTAGACAATCTTATAGGTATCCAATCATACGCTGCTGATGCCACCAATGCAAAGCTATAGATAAATATGGTCGTAATGAAGCCAACCGCTTAACAATAAGCTTAAAACCGCACGATGCCACGCTTACACTTCCTGTATATAGTTCGCAGGTACACTTTTGGTGACCCCTCCGCGTTCGACGTCGGCCCATCCGTCGCCGCTGTCCCGGTTGACCAGAACAAACCGGTCGCCTTCCACCATGCTCCATTCCATATTGCTGCGCGCTTCGTAGTCATACAGCGCTTCGACGTATTGCAATTTCTTTGCCCCTCGTCGAGGGGCGACTGCAGGCCCAACTCGCTTAGCCGCCATACTGCCAGCTAGCGAGGCAGACGAGCTCGAGTACGTAGAGCCCGGCCGATCGGTCAATCCGGGACTGGCCGTGGGCGCAGGGGATGGTGTCGGTGCCACTTCCACATATGAGGCTGGCACGAGGCCTTCTCGCGATCCAGCGCGAACGCGCATCCACCCGGAGCCATCTAGAAAACCTCAATTAGGACGATTTCCCCGCATGTCAACGACAAACTTACCATCAGGTTCGATAATATCCACGTCATCCCCTTCCTGCACTGTGATTTCGTCCGCCCCTCCAGCTTGATACGAATACAGCATCTTCCCACGCGGCTCACCTGAGTTGGTGGGAGCGGATGGCAACTCACTTGCCGCTGGAGCGCTAACGTACTGTGTCGGAGGTGGTGCGAGAATCCGATTCCTCTTCGGAGCGGCGCTGGCCGGTTTGGTCTCAGCAGGCACAGCAGGCTCTGTTGCGCTGGCGGGTTGGCTGGTAACATTTGACAACGATCGGTTTGCGCTCGCCGCATATCCGGAGCTCAAAGAGTTCATCGTATTTTGCCGAGTGAGCGATGGCGCGGCCGACGTTCCGTTCGACGGTGTAATATCGACCGCTGGCATGGCACCGGCTTGCTCCTGTCGCTCTGCCTTGAGCTTCTTCTTCTCCTCCTTCGTCTGCTCACCAGGACATTCCGCGGGTACCTTCATCTGGCATTTGCTGTGGCATGTGTACCCGCAGTCCCGACAATCGAAGCCTTTCGCTGACAGACCCCAAATGCGCTCCCCGCAAAGATCGCAGTTGGTTGGGATCTTGAACGTCTGTGACTTGAAGTTGTGATTCTTGGCTCCCAGAGACAGATCGCCAACGACCGACATGATGGTCGACGTTTCAACCTCAGCAGCTAGTCGTTTCCGGTCTGTCTCATGAAGCGCCTCCTGCAAGAAAAATATGGACCGGACAACCTCGACTTCGTTCCGGTTATCCTTCCCTTGCCGAACATTTTCTCGTACGCGCTTGGCGTTGTCAACTTCCCGTCGCTTCTGGTCGGACTCGACTCGCAAGTCCCGGACTTGCGTCTTGCCCTTGCTGAGTAGGTTGCGCAGAAACACTTTGGCTGACTCATCTGTAATCATTGACTCGTCATCATGCCAGACTGGACTGGGTTCGAATACCATGTTGGCAGGTTCCTGCACTTGAGTGACGTTGTGACGAAGGAACATGAGTGAGTCAAGGTGCGGTACATTTCGAGGAATCTCGTTCAGTAGATGTGACATGTGGTCCATACTCTTGGAGAGAGAAGCTTTCTCTAACTGAGCTGCGAGTGACCATAGCGAGTTGAGTTTTGTCACCCGGGTCTCATTCAGGTCTTGCAATCCCTATTCGACCAGTGAGTAATCCACCTTCCGTGACCTGAAGCCCTCTACTTACGTCAAGAAGCTCTGGCACATATTCATGGAAATATTTCTCCTTCATCTTGTTGGTCACATTTATGCTGATGAGGTACATGTTCTTCGACATATTAGCAAGACCAGGCCAGGCAGGGGTTGAGAAGAACAGCCAGCTCACCTTGATATTATTCATTTCCAAAATCTGCTGCTGATACGCAGCTTGCGCCTTCGCCTTCCCATGGTCAAACGAACTTTCCATCTTCTTTCTGCGCGCCTCGACCTCCTGGCATGCCCCATCATATTTCCCCTTTGCCTTCTTCAGCTCACTGTACGATGAGTCTCTCTCCTTCTCCAGCTTCGCATGATAGTCCACATGGCATTTCCTAAGTTCTTCGTACTGCGCCGCTGCTTGCTTTAGTGGCTCCGCCACTTGCGCGACCAGCTCCGAGGCAAATCTGTCCCGTTCCGCGGCATGCGATTCGACAGCGGTCAATTGCGTCGTCCAGGTGGTAAGGGAAGCGCTTTCAAGGGAGCCCGGGGTCATTATAGGATTGTCTCCAACGCTCAGGCTGCTGATTTTCTTCGCCTTGCGATCGTGGTATTTCCGACAGAGAGTAGTGAGTTTGGCGGCATATTCCTTCTCGATCACGCTCCGCTCGCGATAAAACTGTTGTATCTCGTCGAGCCATTGTATCCCATTCGACACCTATGAGTGACGTTCAACATATTTTTTCTTGGTCTTGTGGACAAAATGCGGGGAAGCGACTCCGGTACGTACCCAATTGTTCACTGGTTTAAATGCGTCCTATATCAACACATAGTATTAGGTAGCCATTCTCGAGTGCGTTGATAGTAAACTTTACCTTCAGCTCCGCCCCAAAATGGGGAGCAACGTCCGCAGTTGCCATCTCTCAGAGGGCCTCTGATGTATCCCGGCGCATAAGACACAGTGTCAGAACGCCAAACCTGGGTGTAGCGTGTACTTAGGCGGCCACGTTCGACCGTTCGTGAAAGAGAAGCCACAATCCCCCACGTGCTGACGTCCTTAGGCGTTTTATGCAGCCAGTAAGGTGTCACAGGTCGGTGAGACTAATAAAAATAGGGAAATGTTTGATAAGAAGCGACCAAAAGGCTATTGTCATCTCATGTTAACTCCGGCGTTGGTGCGGGCATTGGAAGCGGGGATGATGGCTGATGGCTCATGGGCTCATTGGGCTGAGAAGGCTGTGACATACCAAAACAGCAGTCTCAGGCCGTGCCACCCTCAGAAACCTTAGTTGCCCTGGCATTGAAGTTACCATTCTGTACCGTCCGGTACCGGGGTACCACTACGTAGTTCATCTCACCGCCTTCCGTTCAGCGCTAGTCAGGGGATAACCCAAAGAGGGAAAGTGTCATTACACGTTATCGCCTGGCTGGGTTTTTCTACCGTCATTATTGTGCTCCAAAAGCGCAGTCACGGCTTGATTCCTTGGGGATTTAAGCTTGAATTGCTATCATCTCGCCATTCGCATCAGCGTCAGTGCGATTTTGGCTCTGTGTCCTTGCACTGTGATAAATTCCCTCCTTTAATCATCTGATTCTATCCTTACTCTTGTCTCTCTCTCAATTACCCCGCTGTTCGCCTCCCAAAAATTCCCCACAGAGCTCTGGGTGTTGCCCGCCTGCTCACAGCTTCGAAACTGCTGGACCACCTTTTCGCCTTTAGTCTCTTCAGTTTCTCCTGAAGTCACCTACTATGGCCTCAGAACAGCCCGTCGAAGCCGCCCCAACGGGCGGTTCTCTCGCCGATCGCATCACGAAATCCGATGAATCAAACGCTTCCGGTACGAGCGCGATATCATCTCTCTTCGGCGGATCAGATCGAACATACGACTAATCTGTTGCAAGCAGAAACACCCGCGACCCCAGGCGACCAGACAGATGGCGCTCCTGCGGAACTTGGTGGCTCCGACCTCCACGAGCCGGAGTACAACGTCGAAGTCAAGCTCAGCGATCTACAAGCCGACCCCAACAACCCACTTTACTCTGTCAAGAAGTTTGAGGACCTTGGACTGTAAGGGCCCATCGTTTTGTGTGCAGGATTGCTTGTAACTAATCTCTTTGCGACCCTAACAGCGACCCCCGTATTCTGAAAGGGCTGTCGAACATGAACTTCCGCAAGCCTTCGAAGATCCAAGAACGAGCCCTGCCTCTACTATTGAACAACCCTCCCAAGAATTTGGTCGGCCAATCTCAGTCTGGTACCGGAAAGACCGCCGCTTTCGTTTTAAACGCATTGAGTCGTGTCGACCTGTCGACGGAGCAGATGCAGAAGACCCCTCAGGCGTTGATCTTGGCCCCTACGCGAGAGCTTGCCCGTCAGATTCTCGGCGTGGTCCAAGTCATGGGTCAATTCGTTGATGGACTTATTATTGGCGCAGCTGTTCCGACCGACAGGGACAGCCGTCCCAAAAGACTGGAGTGCTCTATTGTTGTTGGCACTCCCGGAACCGTAGGGGACATGATCAAGAGGCGTACTTTTATCCCCAACAAGCTCAAAGTGCTCGTTCTCGACGAGGCCGATAACATGCTCGACCAGCAAGGTCTCGGCGATCAGTGCATCCGTGTTAAAGCGTAAGTTAAGAGTCATACTCAGCATCTACTGCCGCCGTTCCAGCTGACTTCACTAGTCTTCTGCCGCGGGATATTCAGGTCGTCCTATTTTCAGCCACTTTTCCAGAACACGTTCATCAATACGCGTCGAAGTTTGCACCGAACGCGAACGAGATTACACTTCAGCACGAAGAATTGACTGTTGAGGGAATCAAGCAGCTCTACCTTGACTGTGCGGATGGGGAGGACAAGTACAAAACCCTTGTTCAACTTTATGGACTGCTTACTGTTGGATCGTCTATTATCTTCGTCCAGGTTAGTAAACTCACTGCGCCACATCATTAACGACTTCGTGCTGATCAGCCCCCAGACTCGTGTAGCAGCTCAAGAAATCGAGAAGCGAATGACGGCTGAAGGACACACTGTGGTATCATTGACTGGTGAGAGGGATCCCTCGGTACGCGACGCAATTATCGATCAGTTCCGCAAAGGCGAAGCCAAGGTCTTGATCGCCACCAATGTTCTTGCCAGAGGAATTGATGTTTCCACCGTCTCTATGGTTATCAACTATGTAAGTTCACGTTTCGTCTTTCCGGAATTTCATTATTGTGGCTTATGTGTCTAACCCCCTCTAGGATATCCCAGAACTCCATCAGCCCAGCGTACCTGGACGACAGGCAGATTTCCAGACATACTTGCACCGTATCGGTCGTACGGGCCGTTTCGGTCGCGTTGGTGTCTCTATCTCATTCGTGTCGAACCGCGAGGAATGGGAAATGCTCAACCAGATTCAGACATACTTTAACTGTGAGATTCAGCGCGTTGATACCAAGGACTGGGATGAGGTGGAAGATATTATTAAGAAAACCATCAAGAACTCGCGCGCCAACCCCAAATTTGCAGGCGGGAAGGAATAAAGGACGGGGGGTTTGCTCCAGCGCTGTCTATTGTGCGACGAATAAATGGCTTGGGCTACTTTTTACATGTACACAGTGATGATAGTAAAATTTGATGCCTACAAACACATTCAGGGAGATAATAGATACCATTGACGTATAAACCCTTGTCGTCTTGTTGAGGTGTATCTAGCTCTGGGGCCCTATATCAGGCGCCATGGTCAGCGATGCCGTCATAGCGGACCTGTGGGGTCGGATATCTCCGATGCTCCATAGTAGTTAACTGATAAGGATTATGTCAAGCTTCGTGGATTACTGGTCGCAACTTACGGACTGTTCGATTTTTTCGTGAGCAATTTGGCTATTAGACCAACTAATTGTACAGATATGAAGGACATATCCATGACTCTAGCGGTGAGTAGCAGCCTGCCTGGAAAAGGATGGAAAAGAGGGGTATCTGCCGGGATGCCTGATAAGATGCGGAGAGAACCTCAGATAACAAGTCACATGCAGATGCAGGAGGACAACACTCTTCTTATTCCTCCTTCTCCCGTCATCTCTTGACTCTACTCTTCCAAAGTCACTATATTCATCTGCTTCGAGATATCATCTCATCTCTACACTGACTTACAGCATGGGGGACACAACCACAGCCGCCATGCCCGAAGCTCCGAGCATCCAATCCCCTACATCTCCTACATCCCCTACGGCCCCGACAACTGGTTACAGCAAGCACATTGTGGTACGTACCAACACAGCCATGCAATCGGAACGCGGTCTGAACTAAAATCCCATCAGTTGACCACCTACCCCGGCCAAAGCGGCATAGATCCCGTTCCCCTAGTATGGGGCGCACCCGATGCCAAATCCCGTGGTCCGGTCATCGTCACCCGCGGCGGGGGGATGCTCAAGCGACGGAACGCTATGGGCGCCCACGGCGGCAGCTACAGCATCTACAATGCCCTGGCGATCGCAGCGGGAGACCTGGACGTGAACTTCCGCCCGGACTTCCGGAACAGCGAGCCCACGTTCAACTTCCCCTGGCAGCCTGCGTGGGCAGACAAGACGAAGATCGTCTCCATGGACCCGTTCGGGCATGATGTCGTCAACCAGTTCCGGCAGGAGCTGGACGCCGGCTGGGATATCCGGCCCACGATGGCGATTACGCGGGCGAATATGAAACTGGCTGAGATCGGGGAGGCCGTGAAGAATGGGCAGTTAGATGTTGATGGGTCGATTGTTGTGGACTCTTCGGGGGAGGTGCGCGTTACCAAGGTCGCGGTTGAGCCGGTCTGGTATTTGCCCGGTGTTGCGGATCGGTTTGGGGTTGATGAGGGGACGCTGCGACGCACCCTGTTTGAGCACACGGGTGGCAGCTATCCGGAGTTGATCACCCGGCCTGATTTGAAAGTTTTCCTTCCTCCTATTGGGGGGTTGACTGTTTACATCTTTGGCCCACCGGAGCGTGTGTCTGATGAGAATGTGAAGCTGGCGCTGCGGATTCACGATGAATGTAATGGAAGTGACGTCTTCCAGTCGGATATTTGCACATGCCGACCGTATCTGGCGTTCGGTATTCGGGAAGCAATCCGCGAAGCCCAGAACGGCGGCAGTGGAGTTGTTATATATTTCCGAAAGGAAGGCCGTGCTCTGGGTGAAGTCATCAAATATCTTGTGTACAATGCTCGCAAGCGTGGCGGTGACACGGCTGACAAATATTTTACTCGGACGGAGAATATTGCTGGAGTGCGAGACGTGAGTTACACTGTTCAATATGGAAGATACAAATAATACTAATGAGCGTATAGATGCGCTTTCAAGCCCTCATGCCCGACATCCTTCATTGGCTTGGGATCAAGAAGGTCGACCGCATGTTGTCCATGTCTAACATGAAGCACGATGCCATCGTTCAGTCAGGAATCAAGATCCTCGAGCGCGTGCCAATCCCGGAGGAAATGATACCGAGTGACTCGCGCGTCGAGATCGATGCGAAGATCAATGCCGGCTACTTCACGACCGGTAGACAGTATACAATGGAAGAACTGGCAGCAGTGAAGGGACGTGGCTGGGAGAAATGGGAGGATGTCACGGTAAGTAGAGCTCTTTCTGTGGAGGTGTCCTTGCTAACTCTGTCAAGCATTAACCTGCCATATATTCGGCTATTCACAAGCTCAACCTTGTCTTGAAGAATGATACGATCAGTTTGACATTAATTGACCTTTCGGGCATCCCGATCAATATGGGCTTAGGTGTTTAAGGAATTGGGTTTAGTACTGCAAACATCACCAGATAGTAAGCGACTGCAAGTGATTTAAGGCCATGTATCTCTCTGCAAAGTATTGCAGGAGGACCGTCTGGCTGTTTTTTTCCGGTCTGTCAAGCTATTAGCTATAACTGGCTGACCTACAATATCTGGCGAGCTGCCAATTCAAGCCTTACGAGCGTAGTTTACATATCGTTTCATCTTTCCATTATTCCCGATAGGACTATCTAGGATCGTAATTTGCACAATACGATGTGTTCTATTTTTTCCTACTTCGGGTCGCCATCCGACACGGATTCTTTTCCGATTGCCCCGCTCTTTTCAGTAAATCAAGATGTCCGTAGCTATACGAGTATAAAAGCCCCTGCTTGCCATTCTTCTGTGATTACGAACTATATTCTCAAAGTTGAACTACCCTTCATCTAAGCCTGAACAATTAGAACGCTACTTTACCATGGGCTCACACTCGCAACCCCCCGCAGTCTCTCCGCAACCCCACGTCCCTAAACCAGGCGTCTGGTGTCCAGCGGTGACCTTCTTCAACCATACCACCGACACCCTCGACCTCGAGTCCCAAAAGAAATACTATGCCTACCTCTCCAAAACCGGCCTCGCGGGCCTCGTCATCCTCGGCACAAACTCCGAAGCCTTCCTACTCACCCGCGAAGAGCGCGCCCAGCTCATCGCCGCTGCCCGCGAGGCCGTCGGCCCAGACTACCCCCTCATGGCCGGCGTCGGCGCCCACTCCACCAAGCAGACGCTGGAGCTAGCAGCCGACGCGGCGGCCGCTGGCGCGAACTACCTCCTCGTGCTCCCGCCTGCCTACTTCGGCAAGGCGACGACCATGAGCGTCGTGAAGCGATTTTTCGCAGACGTAGCGGCGCGGGCCCCGCTCCCCGTCATCATCTACAATTTCCCCGGCGTGTGTAACGGGGTTGACATTGACTCTGAAACGATGACTGCGATCGTGCGCGAGTCGGCGGCGGCGCGTGCCGATGGGGTGTCGAATGTAGTGGGCGTCAAGCTCACCTGTGCGTCTGTGGGGAAGATCACGCGGTTGGCGGCGACGTTCTCGCAGGACGAGTTTGCTGTTTATGGGGGGCAGTCGGATTTCCTGCTTGCCGGGCTGAGTGTTGGGTCGGCGGGGTGCATTGCGGCGTTTGCGAATGTGTTTCCGCGGACGGCGGCGCGGGTGTATGAGCTCTACAAGGCTGGGAAGGTTGATGAGGCGATGCAGTTGCAGCAGAAAGCAGCGCTGGCGGAGAGTCCGTGTAAGAGTGGGATTGCGGCGACCAAGTATGCCACAGCGGTGTTTAGTGCGTCTCTGGCGGGGATTGTGGGGGCAGAGGAGAAGCTCAGGCCGAGGACGCCGTATGAGGAGCCGACTGAAGGGGTGAAGCAGATGGTGCGGGAGGTGATGGCGGAGGTTGCGGAGATTGAGAGAAGTATATAGTTGCGATTCCTACACCAAAAGCAACTCTGAATGGCTGTGTCTTTAAGGTCGGGGGTGTTTGTGTATTAGGACGCTTAAGATATATACAATTACCGCGATGATTTCGACAACGTCCTCAATACAACATTGGAGACAACACTGCATAATATTGCTGCGTCTTTAACCAAGCTCGGTCGTGATAGAAGCAATGCAAGCATCCAGGGGACTGTGTATGTCAGCGAAGTCTACGTTTCTGTGGATTGGGCTTGGCTCGCGCTACCTGTTATGGTTCTTTTACTTAAATTCGTTTTTCTGACATTGACATTGTTGGTCAATAAAAGGCACGAAAACGGGTTGTGGAAGGCATCAATATTACCTGTCTTGTATCACGGATTCGATGAGGGCGTCTTATCTGATGGTAATGAATATGCTACTGTCAGCTGCATGGAGGCAAGTGCGCAAAAGGTTGAGGTGAAGCTGCAGTCTTCTGATCCCACAGGAAGGTTGATGCTTCGGTAATAGTATTTCATATGAAATTGGACTGGAGTAATTAAAACTCATAGACCAGGTATAGTATTGAAAAAATCAAGCTCTTGCATTGCCTAGCCGCCCTTGAGAGACGCATTCCTACATCAAGTATTGATCAATCGCTGGGACCATATAAGCGGCACAGCAAATGTAATAGGTAGCCGCCGCAGGACTGGCGTGCAAGGCTTCTATATAGCATACTTCAGCAGTGTGAGAGCGTAGTAGGCAAGAGCAACAACGTATTCAGGAGAAATCGGACAGAGATTGCGAATGGAAAGGAGGTGGCCCGCTTCCGGTCTGTCAACAGGATCCTCGACATTGCAAGTGAGCAAGGTTTTACACCGTGTCTTTGTAACACACAGTTTCGTCAACCTGAGCAACCGGCCCAAGGCATTGACTCCTGTAAATGAGCAATACCTTGGAGACATTGAGGAACTAAGATAAAGACAGCTCTTCGTAGATAGATCCCAATCTATCGTTCTCAAAGGTCCTTGTCCTAACTGTGGGGAAATTTCTCCGACTCACCTCCGAAATCCGAAAACAGCCCGGGATTGCGGGGGTCAGTCAGAGAAACAAGCTTGGAAAACAGGAACCCTTTTGACATGCCGAACATATAAAGCCGGATTGCAAAATGCAGAGTCGCCGCATGGCCTAGTGCCTACGAAGTTTCGCCGACGAGGTCCCGGATTCTGATATTTTTATATCGCCAAGCTGGATTGCCAACCTCATCGCCAACAACATCGACGTCACTCCCGGGCCGGGTGGTTGATGGCAAAATATTTCAGGTGTGAGACTTTGCTGTAAGATCATTCTTGATCCGAGTGAGAGGTTCCTTGAATTGGCTTGAATTGTGTACACTGATTGACTCAGTGCAAAGAATATTCTTGCTGAAAAGTAGCTGTGTCTGGAGAAGTCGCAGAACAAAATCGGGCTACTGTTCGGCACAAAGCCGAAAGATTGGGGAAGCTTCAGTGCAATTCTCCGAGCCGTATCCCGAGGACCCATGCTAGCTTTGGTATGTTTTCAATCACATCTAATTTGATCCTGTCCAGCACGTTGACCATGTGGAATGGAGTACCCCGTCTGGGGTCTTTGCAGCTGTTACTAACAATCTGGAGTTCAGGCCCTTGCTGTGGACACTGGGATATAAATACCCCGTTGTCCTCCTGAGTTGTGGAAGTTCTCCAGAATGTGAAGGCATCAATTTTCCATCAGACAAGCAAAATGCGTGCCAATCTCCTCCTCTTCTCTGCTGCATTGGCAGCGGCGCAAACAGCCAACTATTCCGGGCCTCTGCGGCCTCAGGTTCACTTCTCCCCTCCTTCTCAGTTCATGAATGACCCCAACGGACTTTTCTACGATCACAAGAGAGAGATCTATCACATGTACTACCAATGTAAGCTCAATCGACCTCTATAGCTGCATACCTGTGCTAAGCGACGCAGACAATCCTTACCAGACTGTTGCGGGTAACCAGCACTGGGGTCACGCCACCAGCAAGGACTTGTACCACTGGACCAACCACCCCATCGCCATCTCCCCTAGCAAGCCGGACGAGTGGATCTTTTCCGGCTCGGCTGTGGTAGACAGCAACAACACCTCGGGATTCTTCCCCGACCAGGACGACGGCGTAGTGGCCATCTACACGCTGGCCACCGCGACGCTGCAGACGCAAGACATCGCCTACTCGCGCGACGGTGGATACACTTTCACCAAGTATGAGAACAACCCGGTCCTCGACATCGGCTCCAGCCAATTCCGTGACCCGCAGGTTGTATGGCATCCCGAGACGCAGAAATGGGTCATGACCGTTGCTTATGCGGACGATCGCGTCATTGGGTTCTACACGTCGCCCAATCTCAAGGAATGGACCCATGCCTCCAACTTCACCCAGTCAGGTTTGCCAGGAACGCAGTTTGAATGCCCCAACCTCGTCAAGTTCTCAGTCGACGACTACGCCGACTCAGCGGACCCCACGAAGTTTGTGCTTTTCATCTCTGTCAACCCTGGAGCGCCACTCGGGGGTTCGGGAACATACTATGTCGTTGGAACGTTCAATGGAACCCACTTCACTTCGGAAACCCCTCACGAGACTCTCTATGACTTCGCCAAGGACAACTACGCCTCGCAGTGGTACTCGGGTATCCCCGAAGACGAGCCCCCGCTCTCCATCGGCTGGGTCAGCAACTGGAACTACACCCAGCAGGTGCCTACCGGTCCCCTCGAAGGCTGGAGAGGCTCCATGTCGCTGCCCAAAGTGCACGTCCTGACCAAGATCAACGGCTCCTGGGTCGTCACCAACCAAGCATACGACGACATGGACTCCGTCCGCGGAAAGCAACTGAAGGGCAAGCGCTCGCGGAACGGCGATGTGACCTTCGACTTCAAGCACGTCGAGTCCAACGCTGTCTCCTTTGACGTCCAGATCAACGGTATCCCGTCCTCTGGCGCAACGGGCCAGGTATACTTCAACTTCACCTCCTCAACCTCGGGCGAGTACGTCGACGGCGGTCTCAGATTGGACAACGGCTTCTTCTGGATCAACCGTGCGGGCACCCATCTCTTCACTCAGGCCAACAGCACCGGCTACTGGCCCGTCTTCAACACGACCGTCAAGTCCTTCGACAACGGCGAATTCACCTTCTCCGGTGTTATTGACCGCTCGCTGCTCGAGGTCTCCCTCGCTGAGGGCATTCAAACTGGAACGATGACTTTCTACCCAACCCGTCCGCTGGATACTCTCACCGTCTCTGGCAGCGACCTGAGCAAGAAGGCTTCTTTCCGCGTTAAGGCCTGGGGATTGGAGAGCGGATGGTAGATAGCAAGTCGCGGGTTGCGAGTTTTGTCCTCGGTTGCAATTGTGTACATGTGTGGATCACGAAGTCTAGACTTTCTTACTCTTAAAAAATGAACTAAGTAATGAATGAAACTAGTTGTGTCCGCCTGCCGAAGCAGGAGTTTGTCGAATTCGATTACTCAAAGGGTTACATCCCTCTTATCGTTATCACGCAACCCCGGACTTCCGTCGGGGTACCTTATTGTTTTGTTGATCGTGGAGTGGGGCGGCATGCTGTATGCGATTGTCCCTTGTTTGTTTGCGTCTCCTTTTTTCAACCGTGACCTGAATTTCTTGCTGAATTGAACAATATGCCTACTGAAGCGACTCTACGGACTGAATCAGCAAGTAGACGCAGAAATCAAATCGCACACGACACGTGTCAGGGAATCAGTCTGCGCTACGATAATCAGCGCAGTTAACAAAATGCCCTAAGCAGTGGGCCCTGGAGATGCCTGCCAAGTCTTGTTGTCCGATTGGAGCAACAAACTAACCTGCAAGGGGAGTGCTTGTCGTTACATTACATCCAAATAGCGCTAGTTGCTAAGAGAAATTCTTGCAATGAAGATGTTGCATGCGCTAGCTGAGATGCAATTAATTAGCACAGCTCGGTCCTGCGCGGATGTCTGTAGCTGCATGCTTGCTTCCCCTCACCTGGCAATCACTAGGTGCTTAGAGTGTTATCGAGCCTAGGGGGAAGAGCTACTTCGTATAAATATGACTTGCCCTGTTTCCTTTCTCCCCTCTTTCCCTTTTATGTTTGTAGTTCGAGGCGTCCAGGCTACGGAAGGCTAGATTCTCAGAATGCGGACCGTTGCTGCTTCGCTGACGCTTGTTGCGTCTTACCTGTGTGGGATGGTGTCTGCCATACCCAAGGTGCCTGTGCCACCTCCGCTGAGCGCACAAGCCCAGCTGCTCTCTGGGAACGCGACATTCGAGCAATACATTGATCATAATAACCCTGGCCTGGGGACATTTCCTCAGAGATTCTGGTATAATTCAGAACATTGGGCTGGTCCTGGCTCCCCTGTGAGTATCCTCCGCTCGGTTGGTGGCTATTGTTGTGGTGTGCTGCTGACCGTGGCGTCGCCGTGAGAAAGGTAGTCTTGTTCACACCAGGTGAAGCGGACGCTTCGTTATACACTGGATACTTGACGAACCAGACGATCGTTGGACGCTATGCTAAGGAGATCAAGGGTGCGATGATTTTGCTTGAGCGTGAGTACTCCTGATCGAGAATGTACTGGAAGCTTTCGCAAATGTACGGGGAAGTGCTCATCAAGTCTCCCAGATCGCTACTGGGGAGCCTCATCACCATACGCCAATTTGACGACTGAGACGCTCCAGTACCTCAATCTGGAGCAGTCTATTGCGGACCTTGTCCACTTTGCAAAGACCGTGAATCTTCCGTTCGACACTGACCGCAGCAGTAACGCTGATAATGCGGTGAGTAGTGTTATCAAGAGTGGATAATCATGCCATCCGCATGCTGACGGATGTTTCATGGAAGCCATGGGTACTCACTGGGGGTTCCTACAGCGGTGCTCTAGCCGCGTGGACCGAATCGATTGCGCCAGGGACCTTCTGGGCGTACCATGCATCGAGTGCGCCCGTGGAGGCTATCTATGACTTCGTACGTGATGTCAAAGACGTTCTG